TTGAGCTTGGGGTACCTGCCCAACACCCTACGAATTCCCTCAATCCTTGCAAGGTCTGAGACAAATTTTCGCAAACCATCCGCCTTTCCTTATCATGACGGGGGCGCGCTTCGTGTTTCGGGACAAAAAGCCCACTTCTTGCCCTATGTGGCTGGAGCTTGGGGTACCTGTCCAACACCCTACAAATTTCCTCAATCCTTGCAAAGGCTGAGACAAATTTCCGCAAACCATCCCCCTTTCATTATCACGCGGGGGCCCGCTTCGTGTTTGGGGACAAAAAGCCACCTCTTGCCCTATGTTGCCCTCCCCACGCGAGCGAGTAGTCATGACCATGGTGGGGACGTGCACCCCCGGTGTTTGGGGACAAAAAGCAACAAGTATCACGACTTGATACTGAAGGTCCGGGATACGATGACTCACACACAGCTTCACATGCAGGAGCAGGCAAACTGCCAACAATTACCTTACCCCTTCTCATGCAAGTGACCAGGTATGGATTCAGCAGTTCACTATGGGGCAGGATATTTCCCACAAACTCCTCCCCAGATGGTAGGGACCTTTTAGTAGTTTGGCTCCATTCGCGGATCGGCCTGGCAGCCCTTCATTAACACTCAATCCGCATTTTCATTTTCGTCTGGTGTTTCACTGCTCCAAGTCAGCCCGGTATAACCATCAGTCGAACGAGCCTCCTTCGCTTATTGCAACATCAGCACAATGGCAGCAAGCATGCTCTGCAAAGTTCACTTCGCTTATTGCAAGCATCACGCTGATCGTTGGCTTATCCGCAAGGACATTGACGCCATGGATCCACACATTATTTCCAACTATGAGCCTGAACACCGTGCAGAGACAGCAGCCTCGAGGATCCAACCCACCCGGCCACCCAAGATTCCGGTGGCCCCTTCGGATCGTTCACTTCGAACTCAGGGGCTCGACTTCTTAAGCCACCAGTACTTGGCCCAGCTATGGATGTCGAGCCTCAAATCCTGCGCGCCAAGTTTCACCGAACCGCCAGCGCACCGTTTTTTTGTTTTGTTTTGTTTTGTTTTGTCTTGGCTGGCGCATCCAGCCTTCGTGGTCCGGTACCCCGAAGCGTGCAAGTCGGGGCGCGTTAACGCCCAAGGCCCGCGGCTGATAAGCTGGAGCAAGTACTGGTGGTTTAAGGAGGCAGGAGTGTGGCATGCCAGGGCTTCCCACACCAGGCCTAGGAGCCCCGATTTCTCTTCGAGTGCCCCCTTGGCTGACCAGGCCTATCCAAGACCGCTATCCCAGGCCTTTAAACCACCAGTATCGGTTGCAGGCCCCTTTCGAAGGCCAAAACGTGACACCGGCCACCAATGTTTTTAATCGACAGCGCACCGGCCCTGACTTTTTAGGACCAGCCGACAAAACATTTTCCGCAAGGCTGGCCTGTACTGGTGCCTTTAGCCTACAAGGCCTTGGAGAGCGATTTCCAATACAGGCATTTGAGTACTTCACCTGTTCGGAGTCTAGGCGTGCACGTATTTTGTCTGTTCTCAGTTCTGTTTTATTCAGTTTGCTTTGCTTTCAATTTCTGCAGATTATGTTGAAGTCAGTGCAGCACAACACACATTTCATTCTACGACATAGAAACAACTCCCACCTACCCAGTTTAGGGTTTAGGGTTTAATATAGGATCTTTGGACTCAAATTTTTGAAATTGTGGTTGTACATAATCCATCTTATAATATTGTAGCTATATGTGATATATAGGGCCTCACTCCACTATTCACCCATGCACAAAAGACAAAAAAGACAATATAGGGTTGTGTCTTTCCATGTTCTAGCCGAAGGTTCAGTCTTATTCTGCACATTTGGTAAGTAGTAGAGCAAGGCCCATAAACTTAGGCATCTGCCACCTCTTCTTTTCTTTCTCTTCTTTTTTCTCTCTTCTTTTTTTTTCTTCTTTTTCTTTTCCACCTCATTTGTTCTACTCTAGGTTGCTCTTCCTATGATTTTTTTTTGAACACGCATAGAGGCTGCAAGATTCATTTTGAAAATTCCCAATCTGAGCATCATGCCCTAATTGTACGCAGATTGATATGAATTTCCCATTCAAATAATCAACCACAAAATTGCTCTCTGTCCGTATGCATGACCACATTCATGATAGCATTTCATTCCATCAATTAGGGCCCTAATTGCAACATTCGCCATCCGCCAAGATTTTGAATGCACCTGGACAAAACGTTTTCCCGATTCATTGCAAATCTTCACAAATGCCAAGGGGCGCAACTAGACCCTTAACGAAATGGGCTCAGTGCACTTGGCCTGCAAATGGATCACATACAGATGGGTTTGCTGAGCTCACAAGAAAGAGAAGGGAAGAAAAAATGGGGGGGAGGTGCGAGAGGGAAGAGAAGTGGGGAGGGGAGAGGCAGGGAGTGGGAGAGGGAGGAAAAATGCCTGTGAGAGAGAGAGAGAGCGAGAGAGAGTTAAAACTTAAAAGGCCTTGACGTCACCTCATTCCAAGTACTCGCGAATAAAAATCCAATGACGCTTTCGGATCCTTGATCCTGTACATCTGCAGAGGAACGGAAATGACAAGAGCTTGCAAAATTAGTGACAAAAAAAAACACAACACTTAGGGGGCGCAGGGGGCACGGGGAGGGGAAGAATGTCCCTCACAGTAAAGTAGAATACCAAAACATATAAAAATAATTCGTTATCAACCAAAATATCATCACGAGGGATATATTTTAATTTATTTATATTATTATAATGATTGTTAGTCTTTACATTTCATAAAATTTTTAAATTATGCAGCGGAGGCAAGCGGACATCAGGGAGATGGACCTGACAAACATGGATGCCAATGCAAGGACCGTTAGGACAGCCCTGCTAGATGTAGTGGAGATGCTGGACTACCATACCTCTCTCTTGCAAGACATTCAAAGGAGCCTGGCCGTGCTGGTCAGGCGAGTTCAGGTCACACCATCACCATCTGGGCCAGGTGCCTGGCCTGTGGTACAGCCTCCTCCTTTTGTCCCACCGGTAACTGTAGTCCCATACGGCACAGACCGCCTCCTCTGGTTATGCCTTTGACAGGCGGGTTATCAGCAGGTCTAGTGTTACTTTGACAGGCGGGTTATCAGCAGGTCTAGTGTTACAAATTCCTGTCCAGACAGTGTACTCCCAACCTCCATCGCAGACTGTCATAACAGGGCAGCCCGGGCCCCACAACCTAGAGTAGTGCAGCAGCCTGCACCCCAGGCCCCACAACCTGGAGTAGTGCAGGCACCGGGACAAGGACAGTGGGCTCCCAAGACTGCCATCGCATCACCAAAACCCTTCTCAGGAGATAAGAAGGGTGAAGACATCGACACCTGGTTAAGGCTGGTGCCAGTCTATGTGAAGTGCAAGTTAACCTTGCCTCACGAGGAAGTACTTGTGGTTGCCTCCTATTTGGAAGGGAGTGCAACAAGATGGTTAAGTGGGTACGTGCAATTACAAGTGTACGGTCATGACTTCCGCACTTGGGCAGTCACCCACAAATTGGATGATTTCCTAAAGTTGGTGGAAGAAAGGTGGCATGACCCGCAGGAGGCTCAAAAGGCCACTAGGTCAGTAAGGGATGCCACGGACGTGGTTGACCGTCTGATTTGTGTTCTTAGAGTGCGCTACGACCCCCAAGTCTTACTTACCACTTACCTGAGGTGTCTCCTCATAGAGCTCAAAAATCAGTTGGCAGGTGAGGCTATGATCACGGTCCACAACTTCCCTTCATTCAGCAAGAAGGCCCTAGATCTAAAGGCAAAGATCAGGCATGGGCACCAACCCACTATGGATGGTAGGAAAAAGGCACTGCCTCCTAACTGGAAGGCCAAGGGGCACATCATGTTTGTCGACAACGATAGCACTACCATACAATTGGACGACGACTTCCAAACGGGAGTAGGGTCAGAATCGGGTAGCGTAGAAACTTCAGGGGGTGGAGCAGTCGCTGCCTCAGTTCAGAAAGGTAAGGCGACGGATAGACAAAAAGGTTCCCGGTCAAGGAGTCAAGTAGACCCCAAAAATACTCCATAGGAGAAAGCGGGGCTTATGGAGAACGTGTGGATAGATCGTTACTCCCGTGCAACTTGTATTCGTTGTGGCCAATATGGTCATAACCAGTTCAAGTGTCGGAATAGGAAAGTAACGGAAAAGATCCCGCCCACGATGGGGCAGGCGCCGGTCTCCTCCGCTTCCCAGGGTAGCAACGTTGCCAGCAGTTCTAGCATTGCTTTGGAAAACACGTCGGGCCAATAGGAATTATAGTTGTTCCTGCTATGGTCGAGGTGGTGGACACACCCTCACCATCTCGAGAGATGGCCCAAGCTATTGACTTTGTCGTCGTCCCACAAACACATTCGGACCAATCGATCCTCTAGTTGATGAATGTGTTGGAGTCCTTAAAGCTCGAGGTAAAGTGATCTAGATCCGACCCACTAGCTTCTTGGACAGCCATGGCTAAAGCTCCTAAGAATGAGTTCTTCGTCGGCAAGGTAGATATAGGCGGTCGTAAGGCAGGGGCCTTCTACGATACATGTTCAACGAGGAACTTTATCAGTCACGCTTGTGTTGAACAGTTGCGCTTACAGGGGCAAGTGCAGCGCCTTAGTCAACTTGTGGAGTCGACCTGTGCCAACAAACAGCACATGGTAATCAATGACTACCTAAAAGACATTTGTCGTTTTCCATACTCGGGAGGGGAACTGAGACATAAGAGTCTCATTTCTAGTCAGCGATGATCTCCCTATGGATATTTTGTTGGGTATGTACTATGCGATGATCTCCCTATGGATATTTTGTTGGGTATATACTATCTTTCAGTTGCACAGCCCCAATTTGACTGGGACCGAAAAGTGGTCAAACACACTTTGCCAGGAGGGGAATGCCAAATTACGTGAGTATAAAGCTAGTAGTTTGATCGAGTCCTACGAAAGCATGTGTGCGGCCGCGTTCTATAATTATTATAAGCAAAATCCGGAGGGTATGTACTTAATGTGTCTCATGCGTGAGCCAATTGAAATGCCTCCAGAGGTAGAGGGAGTGGTCGCTAAGTACCCTGATCTATTTGAAGAGCCGAAAGGGGTTGTTGAGAGGGAGGTCACCCACGCGATAAAGACTACCCCAGGGTCTAGTATTCCGAAGGGTAGGATCTATCGGATGTCTCCAACATATCTTAATGAGCTTCGCCGGCAACTCAAGGATCTCATAGAGAAGGGTTGGATCCGGCCTAGTGTCTCCCCTTATGGGTCTACTGTCCTATTTGTACCAAAGAAGGGGGGAACATTGAGGATGTGCATTGACTATAGGGGCCTCAATGTTATCACCGTGAAGAACGTAGAACCCTTCTCGTGCATCGATGACTTGTTGGACCGACTGCAAGGGTGTTGGTACTTCAGTAAGATAGATCTGAAGTTCGTGTACCATCAAATTGCAATCTAACCCGAGGATCAACACAAAACTGCTTTTCAGACCAAGTACAGTCTGAACGAGTCTCTGGTGATTCCTTTCGGCCTTTGCAATGCTCTCCACCTTTCATCACGCGATGAACCAGATTTTTCATGACTACTTAGACAAGTTCGTCATTGTGTACCTTGACGACATACTTATCTTCAGTAGGACTGTCGAGGATCACGTAGCCCATCTAGACAAAAGTTCTTAGCCTCCTTCAACAACATCAGTTCAAGATCAACCGAAATAAGTGCTAGTTTGGCCGCACCCGGATCTTGTACCTGGGTTATGATGAGTTAGGTGTTGCTGTATTACAAGCTTATGTTTTTACTATTCTAATATGTATTTACCTAAATGACGCTTTGAATCTTCATTAACCACTTTCTCCAACTTCGTGGCGCTTAAAGTTTGAAGTAGGTGTACGATTACCAAAATGTGCCTTTGTACTTAGTAATCTTTGAATTACCTTTTCTAAATTGAACATAGTTTGATTATGAAGCGACCGACCTCGCTGAGCCTTTTTGGTAGGGGAGACGATGTTGAACCTGGTGAGGATAACGAAGCCGACACAAAAGCTTTCCAATATAGAATAGCCAAAGCAATTTCGTGGTCGAGCAATCTTTCTTATTTTATAGTACGTGTGATAAATTGAGAAGCGGCTTGTTTCATTTCATGCGTTGACAACATCTATAAAAAACAACAAACAAAATGAAATTGCATATAATTGGCATTTTAGCCAAAAGATTTCTGCGGAGAAATTGAAGCCCGATGACGCGAAGGTGGCCAGCATTCGTGACTGGCCGCGTCCTCAATCTGTGACTTAGGTGAGGTCCTTAGGGATGACCGGCTACTACCGCAATTTTGCGAAGAACTATAACATAGTGGTCGCACCTTTGTCGGACCTCACACGCCATGACACCCCGTGGGAGTGGACATACAGGTGTAAGGATGCCTTCAAACATCTGAAGCATTCCCTGACACACCATGAGGTCTTGAGACTTGACCCTGACAAACCTTTAGTTGTGACCGCGGATGCCAGCCAATATGGTATTGGTGTTGTGCTTGCGCAACAGGAGGAAAAAATTGAGACCTGTAAAGTACATGTCCAAAAGGATGCCCTCTCAGAAGTTGGCTAAGTCCACCTATGAGAAGGAACTCTATGCGATCTATAAAGTGAGAAGGAACTCTATGCCCTCTCAGAAGTTGGCTAAGTCCTTGGGAGATTCTTCTACGCTAGGACTCATCATTAGACCCTGAGGTGGTGAGGACACAGCTCTCCGATGCTTTGAACCAATGGATTGAAGTCACATAACATTAAGACTTCAAACCTCAATACATCAAAGGGGAGTACAACAAGGTTTTTGATGCGTTGTCGCGTAGACCAGACTTCCTTGGTGCGCTGATCACTAAGTTTGGGCTTGCAGACAATGTGACTCAGTCCTTGGTGGAAGCCTATTGCGAGGATTCGTTCATGGCAGAGATCATACGCAGGCTCGCGGCGAAGGACAAGGTGACTTCTGACGAGTTTGTGTTGGTCGATCGCTTATGTTCCTTGAGGTGCCCTGGAATAAACGTTTGTGTGTGCCGAACTGGGAGTCTTTGCATAGTTTATTTTTAGGCGAGTGTCATGATGCTGCTGGACATTTTGGCTATGAGAAAACTGCAGCAGACCTGTTGCAGCAGTTCTGGTGGCCCACAATGATGAAAGATGCCAAGCTGTGCGTGGAAACTTGTCGACTGTGCCAGAGAGACAAGCCACGCACAAAGGCCCCTCTTGGGTTTCTCAAGCCCCTTCCGACTCCGAAAGGGCCCGGTGAGAGCCTGTCCATGGATTTCATGCATACGCTGGTCACCAGCAAGAGTGGAATAAGATATATTTTTATCATTGTGGATAGGTTTAGTACGTACGCTAGGTTAGTGGCAATGCCTGCAACAGCATCGACCGAGTATGTGATTAAATTATTTAAAGAACAAGTGGGACCCGCCGCAGCGTGGGAAATGAGAAAAACATTTTGCAAAAGCGGGGCGGGGGGGGGGGGGGG